CACACACACACACACACACACACACACACACACACACACACTCTTGTGCACACACGTCCAATAACTTGGACTAGTAGGTAAACACTGCCCCCTAGCCCCAAGACCCCAGAATACAATTTTTCTCCCCACTGGAAGCTGCTTGTGCTAACTCCTCTGGAGTCAAGGAGGTCTCAGAAGACTGACAAGCGCCCCCACACTGCCTTCCCCCCTCCCCCAGGCCTTCCTAAAAGGTAGACTCATTCATTTGCACAGCAAACATTTATCGAGCAGCCTCCGTGGCCAGGATGGTGGTAAGCACTGGAGGATAAGTAGTAAGTCAGGCAGACACAATCCTTGCTCTCATAAAAGCCAGCGGCCCTGAAATGGATTCCTATTCCTCCTCATGGCCACTCCGTGAGTGCAGAGGACAATGCTCCAGGGCCTTTCCCAGGACTGACTTTCCCAAAGCAGATGGTCAGGCCCAGCTCCCAAGGCATCTCTGGGCACACTCGAACCTCCAGCCTTTGGGTTAGAAGCAAAGCACTTCAACTCTGCCCCCTACCCCCACCCCCAACGACCACCACCACTCCCATCAACCTTCTGTGGTTGTTCCTTGCCATGATTCTGCCTCGAGGCCACCCCATGCCTGCAGGGGCCAGCTGTTCCCTAGGGTTTCCAGGCCTATGGCCTTTCAGAAACAGATCACCAAGCCTGTTCGCTGAGGTGCCTCTTGAGGTGGGTTTGAACCGCCAACCTTGTGAGTAGCAGCCAAGCAAGGTGGCCTCCCGCCAGATGAGCAGAAGTAGTAGCTGGACTGACTTTGAACCCAAGAGGCAGGAAGAGTTTCCTAAAACTGCAAGGAGCCTTCTGATGAGAACTTGACTGTAGGGCCTCTGATTCCTGGGCTCCTTCTTAACCCAGGACATCAGTGCTCCTGCCCCATGTCTGCACTTCTGCTGGTCAAGCTTGCTTTTTGGTTTCCAAATTAGGCAGGGCCCCTCTGCTTTCGGCCTGAGAAAGGAATACATGAGAATAACTCAGGAACCTGTCCATCTGACATCACAACGGAGCTTGCAAAGAAATACCTGTTTACTCCCGCCTTAACAGTAGGGTAAGAAGGGTCTTCCAGGTCCTCAGTCCATTTACCCAGCACTAAGTGTGGAGAGAGCCTGTGCCAGAAAGAGGTACCACCCTTCCCCCGGGAGCCTGCAATCTGATGGGAGACAAAGACCCTACTCTCAAGGAGAAAGCCAGTTTCCGTGAGTCAATGCCAGTTCATAGCCATCCCTATGTGGCAGAGTCTGTGCTAGTCCAGGGTCACCGGAGAAACAAATCCAGAGACACTTATCTGTGTGTAGGAGAGAGATTTCTATCAAAGAGTAGCTGTATATTAAGAAAACATCCCATCCCAGTCCAGATCAAGTCCATAAGTCCAATATTAGCCCATACATCCCATACTTATCCATAAATCACCCCTAAGACTCACGCAGTCACAAATGATGCAGACTGCAGGAAGGTCACAGGCCGGTGGGTGCAATGTCTTGTGGATCTAATGGCGGTGGAAGCACCTTCAGGGCTCTGGCTGGCATCAGCATAGCTCCATGTGACTTGTCAACAGGAAGGTGGAACCGAGAGAGTGTGTGGCCCTCCTCCAGGGAGAAAGACAGGAAGTTCCCAGAATCCTCCAGAGTAGATCAGGTCCACCAGGAGGCATCATCAGGCTGTGATCTGATTGACAGGCCAAACCCCACCCCTTCACTCTATTTATCAAGTTGACATGAAATGTATATAACTACCACAGAGTCATACGAGTACGAGGGCTTTTAATGGCTGAAGTGGATCACCAGCCTTTCTTCCAAGTCTCCTGTGGGTGGATTTGAGCTCCCAACCTTTTGGTGAGCAGCCACGCATGTTCACTGTGAGGATGAACAGGTAAGACATGAAGGCAGAGTCTGACCTCTGACATCACAAGAAGGAGGGAGAACCAAATTCCACATCAGTCCAAGGTCAATGCCTATAAGGGAGGGGTCAGACGTGCCTCCATCCTCCAACAATTTAACCAAGTCTGACACCAACTGGACCTCACAACCCACTCTCTGCTTCTCTGCTAGGCTTGAAAATCCATTGTAACGGCTCCTCAGAGCTCACCGACAATACTCACAATCATGGACTTGCTTAGGGGAGTTAGCAGGTTCCAATTCAGGATCAGATGTGCTCAGGACACAGCTCTTAGGTCAGGACAGGGTCTTGCCATCCATGCCCACAGATAGGCCTCTTTAACCCTCAGCCTGAGCCATGCCTCTCCTTAGCCTCTGCCCTGCCTCTTAGTTCTGCCGCCACTGCTCCTCTGCCACTTCTCTGGTGTCACCGCGTGCTGCCCCTGGAGATTCCAGCAATTCAGCACACACCACACGGTGTGAAAGATGCACCCCACTCCTGGCTCTGCCTTCTTGGAGGTTACGAGAGCCTGCCTCTTGTGCCCGAAATGGTCCCTTTCGTGCCCAACAGGACGGGACGGCCATCTCGGCCAATCCCCACATTCGGTCCCAGGTTTTAACAGTCACAGCCAGCCCTGTGGACAATCCCTCACAACCCCACCAGCCTCTCCCCACTCCCTTCTCTTATACAGGCTGCCAGTCTGCATGGCTCACCGGGCTGTTTGGTGGGTGCTACAGGTGGCGGCTAGAAGACCCACGTTCGGGAACGCACGGCATCACATCAACACTCACCTCGACGCATCGTGGAGGAAATGCGTGGAGGCAACAGTGTGGCGAGACTGGCAGGAGTAGGAGGAGGTGGAGAGATCCATGGGAAGAGTTTCTGTACAGATTTCTCAGTGGGAGTGTACTCCCTCCCCGTCCCGCTCCCACCCCCACACTCCATTCCCAGAGAAACCGGCAGAGATGCAAATACTGGTCCTGAAGGTGAGGCAAATGCAAACACAACACCCAGAGGAGCAGAAGAGCCGGAGCTGGGGCCTGCGTGTAATTAGTGCATTGTTTTCAATGACACGGAGGGCTTTGTGGGAGCACCAGGCTGTTTAAGGAACAGTTAGTTAAACCATCCTCTGCTGCTCCTTTAAATGCAAACACAGGGCACCGGAGGCGCTCTGCTCCACCACAGTGCAAAGGAGCTGTCATCCCTCAGTAGAAGCAATCATGTGGTCCCAGGAGCTCCTGCTGTGTTCATCCAGTGCAGGGTGGGTGGCATGGGGCAGGCAGTAAGGTTAGCCTCCAGTGGCCTGGCTGGGGCCCTCGCTTCCCAAGAGGAATCAGCAGGAACGGGAGGAAAGGTGGATGGGGAGTTGTTCCTCTGTGTGAGCTCCTCCAGCCACCCCTCTCCGCATCTTCCTGCTGCTCCCCTTTCCTCCCCACACTTTGAAGTCAGGGCAGCTCTGTTATCAAACACCTGCTGCATGAGCTACCATCATCAAGAAGGATGAGAAGGGGGAGGACGGGTGTCCCGGACACCTCATCCATTCCGTCACCCTTGCAGTCCCAGAAGAGAATACTCGGCCAGCATGGGGACCCAAAGAACAAGTTCAGAATGAGTGAGCGGCTGAGTGAAGGAAAATCTTGCATAGCCTGCCAGATTGCAGGCACTGAAATAGCACTCCGCCACTCTTAAAACGAGCACTCCATTTTTAGAGTTCGGGGCTCAGAGGTTAAGGTCCTATGTTGTTGGTAGGTGCCACCAAGTCCACTCCAACGCATGGTGGCCCTTTGCACAACAGGATGAAACAGGACACAGTCCTGTGCCACCTTCACAAGGGGTCTGCTGCTTGAACCCACTGTTGCAGCCACTGTAGCAATTCACCTTGTCCAGGGCCTTCCTCGTTGTGGTCGTTACAGAAGCAAGAGCAGAGTCTAGCCTGTCAATCAGGTTGCAGCTTGATGACCTCATTTGGGAGGCACAACAGAGATAAATAGCTCACTGGAGGCTAGATATGTCACTCCCTGTGAGACATTCCTGTTGACAAGACCCATGGAGCTACGCCAGAGCCCTGGAGCTGAAGAAGCCATGTGGAGACCCTTGCCAGTGCGGAGATGCTTACACCTCCACTGGATCCACAGGACTTTCCAACCACTGGCCTGTGATCATCCTGCATTTGGCGTCATTAGATGTGTTTCATGAGTCTGAAGAGGACTTTATCAATTGGTATCAGACATATGGGCTAATATCAGACTTACG